TTTTGGCCATCGTGAATAAAGCTGCTTTGACTGTTTGTAAGTCTTTTTGTAGATATTTGGATAAACATCTAGGAATGGAGCAGCTGAGTGTATAGTTAACCTTATGAAAAACTTGCCCAACCTTTTCCTGAAGTGGTTGTACCCTTCTTACATTTCCTCTAGCAATGTGTGAAAATTCTGGTTGCTCCACATATAGCGTTGTTGGTCTTTTTACTTTTAGCCATTTTAGAGGGTGTGAAGTGACATCTCATTGTGGTATTAACTGGTATTTCCCTGATGACAACTGTTGAGCACTTTTTTTATGTACTTATTGACCATTATAAATCTTCCTTTGTGGAGTGTTCAAGTCTTTTGCTCATTTTTTAAAAACTGGGTTATTTCTTTTGATTATCAAGTCGTTTCTTTTTTTAGAATCTCGGTAAAGGTTCTTTATCACTGCTAATTGCATCATTTGCATCATCTTGGAGTTGGTTTCTGTTGACTGCATTTTTTTGGAGTATGGGTCACATTTTCCTTTTTGTTACTCTACTTAGTGATTTGTTTGTTATTGGACACTGCATATTATGACTAATACTTGTAGAGACTCTGGATTCTGTTGTATTCCTCTGAAATGTGGTATTTGTTTTAGCAGATGGCTTGGCTCGACTCATAGTCTAAACTCTTGTCTCCCTTGTCTTGGGCAGCACCTGAAATCTCTGTTCATTCTTTTCAGCTTCCAGTTGCCCCTTTATTGCTGGCTGCCTCGGGTCTCCCCCATATATGTGTAGTTTAACTGGAAGCAAAAACTTTGGGTGGATTTTATAGGCTTGTTTTGGGCTTTACTCCTTCTGCTTTCCCCTTTTTCCCCTAATTTTCTGGCTACTCTGTCAGCACTGAACTCTGTCCTCTGATACCTCAAGCCAGTAAGGTGATGCTATCCAGGCTGTTTGTGGATTAAGGAGGGCTTCAGGGGTAGGGCCACAAATTCCCAAATCTCACTAGCTGCAGTTTCTGCCTGGTTTTGGTCGCTCTCTAGTGCCTTCAAATAATGAATGTTTGATATTTCGTCCAGAATTTATAATTATATTTGCGGCAGGGTTAGTCTAACCAAACTATGCCAGTACTGGAAATTGGAAGCCCACTGAATCTGTTTTAGTATAGTAGTTGCATTTAGGACAAACTAAAGGTTGGCTGAGTTTTATAAAAGTGTATTATTGTAAAAAGCTAGCTGTGCTGACAGCTTTACCAGCTGGAGGCAGCTGATCCTCTTCTCTTCTCCGCTCACCTGACCGTGTGTGATTTGTATGCTCTGTGGACCAATCACAGGTCAACATTCCCCTTTTTGGTCTTTGACTTCTTTTCACCAAGCTATAAAGGACTCAGATTAAAAATCATTTAATTTGAACCAAAGTGAAAACTAAAAGAAGTCTATTTGGGAAAGAAAATATGCTGCTAAAAATCACACAGTGCAGTCCCAATGAAAATAAATTTTAAATTATCCCTCTGTTCTAATAGCACAAATAATTGAGATTTACAATTTGCTTGTTACTCTTTTTTAGCAGTTGCGATAAAACATGGTCATTTTTAGTGTTGCCTTTGATTGATCCATAGTCAAATTCACTATGAAACATCCTGTAATCTAAATAGAAGTGAATTTAGATTGGTCCTTGGCTTTTGTTGCCCTTTTGTCATTATTTTGTTGGCGTCACGGAGCTGCTGCAATTAGGCACCAGCAGAGGGAGTCCTTATCATGTTCTATAGATTCCCAGACGCTCAGTGAAATTTTCAAATTCTTATTTATTTGGATCTATTACATTTTACCCTCTATATTAAATTATTTCTGTACTGTTTACGTGATACGAACTACTTCTTAAGGAGACTGCAGGCCAAGTGCCGTAGTTATCTTACAATGATAAATGAAAGAACAATCACTTAAAAAAATGTTGATCTGTGCATTGTAATTTATTAATACCCCTGGTGTAGGGGACGGAATCCATTGTGTTCGCTAAGCCCTCTTTCAAGACTAGCAGTCTGTCATACTACAGTAGTAATCAGGACTACTAAATTTTGTAAGCTCTTGGCAGACAGTTAACTGAAGTCTCATATTCTTCTTAGCATCCATCGTAGTGTGAAACATTTGGTAGGTTCTTAATAATTATTTGATTTATAAGAAGTCACATTTTGGGGCTGGCCCCATGGCTGAGTGGTTAAGTTCACGTGCTCTGCTTTGGCGGCCCAGACCTTCACTGGTTTGGATCCTCGGCGCAGACCTAGCACCGTTCATCAAGCCACGTTGAGGCGGTGTCCCACAGAGCAGAACTAGAGGGACCTACAACTGGAATATACAACTATGTACTGGGGGGCTTTGGGGAGAAGAAGAAGAAAAAAAAGTCACATTTTGAGAATTTTAATATGTAGCGGCAGATTGTCAAACGAATTTGGCTAAGGTACCATTCCTATGTAAAGAGTCTTTCATTATTGGTAAATGTCAAATATCCTATGATCATGTGGGGACAGTTGAATTGGTCCAACCTGATTTCAGATTCACAGAGAAATCTGGTGAAATACTGTGTAAGGAACATGAATTCTTTCTTTTATTTTATAGTTATCTCAAAATGCTGCTTGTACTAACTATAAGTTCTGCAGATCAAGTGGTGAGAACTGTGATTTGGGGCCACTCTGGATGCTCTTAGCTGGATTTCAGGGTGCTGAGTAGGAGTGAGATGGCATGGCTCCTGGGAGGTGTCTTCCTTGACCTCAGACCCAAGCACAAGTCTTATCTAAACCATCTGTGATCTAGAAGGAAAGCAGATTTACCCTTCAGGCTTGTACTAAAGTGTGCTACCTCTCAATTAAGAGTTTGTCTTGGGGCTGGCCCCGTGGCTGAGTGGTTGGGTTCGTGCGCTCCGCTGCAGGCGGCCCAGTGTGTCGTTGGTTCCAATCCTGGGCTCGAATATGGCACTGCTCATCAAACCACGCTGAGGCGGCGTCCCACATGCCACAACTGGAAGGACCCACAACAAAGAATGTACAACTGTGTACTGGGGGGCTTTGGGGAGAAAAAGGAACAAAATAAAAAATCTTAAAAAAAGTGTGTTAAAGACTATCCTGAATTTTCGAGAGAGAAGTGGAATTTAAAAAAAAAAAAAAGGAGTTTTTCTCAGTGATGCATAAAAATCACCTTAAAATTCTAGTACTTGTACCTTTTTAAAGATGAGAATGTGGATGCAAAGACACAATTTGGAGTAAGTTTTTTGTTTATTTTTAATTTGTATTTCCTTTTTTTTATTGAGTTAATGATAGGTTACAATCTTGTGAAATTTCAGTTGTACATTATTGTCTGTCAGTCATGTCGTAGGTGCACCCCTTCACCCTTTGTGCCCACCCCCAACCCCATCTTTCCTCTGGTAGCCACTAATCTGTTCTCTTTGTCTACATTTTTAAATTCCTCATATGAGTGGAGTCATACAGAGATTGTCCTTTTCTAACTGGCTTATTTCACTTAACATAATTCCCTCAAGGTCCATCCATGTTGTTGCAAATGGGACGGTTTTGTTCTGTTTTACGTCTGAGTAGTATTCCATTGTATATATATATATACACCACATCTTCTTTATCCATTCATCTATTGATGGGCACTTAGGTTGCTTCCACGTCTTGGCTATTGTAAATAATGCTGCAATGAACATTGGGGTGCATGGGACTTTTGGAATTGCTGACTTCAAGCTCTTTGGATAGATACCCAATAGTGGGATAGCTGGATCGTATGGTAGTTCTATTTTTAATTTTTTGAGGAATCTCCATACTGTTTTCCATAGTGACTGCACCAGATTGCATTCCCACCAGCAGCGTATGAGGGTTCCTTTTTTTCCACAACCTCTCCAACATTTGTTGCTATTAGTTTTAGATATTTTTGTCATTCTAACGGGTGTTAGGTGATATCTGAGTGTAGTTTTGATTTGCATTTCCCTGATGATCAGTGATGATGAGCATCTTTTCATGTGCCTATTGGCCATCAGTATATCTTCTTTGGAGAAATGTCTGTTCATGTCTTCAGCCCATTTTTTGATCGGGTTGTTTGATTTTTTGTTGTTCAGTTGTTTGAGTTCTTTATATATTATGGATATTAAGCCCTTGTCAGATATATGACTTGCAAATATTTTTTCCCAGTTAGTGGGTTGTTTTTTTGTTTCAATCCTGTTTTCATTTGCCTTGAAGAAGCTCTTTAATCTGATGAAGTCCCATTTGTTTATTCTTTCTATTGTTTCCCTTCTCTGAGAAGGCATGGTGTCCAAAAAGATCCTTTTAATACTGATGTCAAAGAGTGTACTGCCTACGTTTTCTTCCAGAAGCCTTATGGTTTCAGGTCTCACCTTTAGGTCTTTGATCCATTTTGAGTTTATTTTGGTGAATGGTGAAAAAGAATGGTCAATTTTCATTCTTTTACATGTGGCTTTCCAGTTTTCCCAGCACCATTTGTTGAAAAGACTTTCTTTTCTCCATTGTAGGCCCTCAGCTCCTTTGTTGAAGATAAGCTGTCCATAGATGTGTGGTTCTACTTCTGGGCTTTCAATTCTGTTCCATTGATCTGTGCACCTGTTTTTGTACCAGTACCATGCTGTTTTGATTACTGTAGCTTTGTAGTATGTTTTGAAGTCAGGGATTGTGATACCTCCCGTTTTGTTCTTTTTTTCTCAGGATTGGTTTAGCAATTCGGGGTCTTTTGTTGCCTGGAGTAAGTTTTTTAAAGCTAGATTTCTTTTTATCTCACTTTTAATTGCCAAGGCAAAGAGAGTGCAGTATTTTTCTGATGCTAGGATTTTGTTTTGTTTTGTTTTTGTTTTTGAGGAAGATTAGCCCTGAGCTAACATCCACACCCATCTTCCTCTACTTTATATGTTGGACTCCTACCACAGCATGGCTTGCCAAGCAGTGCCATGTCCTCACCCGGGATCCGAACCAGCGAACCCCCGGCCGCTGAAGTGGAAGGTGCAAACTTAACTGCTGTGCCACCGGGCTGGCCCCCTGATGCTAGAATTGATTGCTAGGCCCCAGGTTCAAATAGGAACGAAAGTGAGTCGAGGCAGAATATGATGTAAAGTAGCTTCAGATCGTTTGTATAGTTGGGAGAGAGCTTGGGATTCCCCAGGTCCATTCAGACTGGCCTGGGAGGCCTGTCCTGTGAGTGTAGCCCAGAAAGCTGCATGCTAATCGGTTGTCCCCTTTGTAATGAAAAACTGTTCACTGAAAGAGAATTGTCAGAATGGGCCTGACAAGATTCTAGTGTTGTTAACCAACTAATAGGGAGAGAGAGAATGGTTGATAACAACAGTAATAGCTATTATTTATTAAGCAACTACCACGTGGCAGGGTGCTAGGTATTTTACTTATATTTTCTGTATGTCATATAACCACCCTTCGAAGTTGTTACTGTTACTCTACTGGTCATAGTGAGGTAATTTTTATTACTCATAGTGAGGTAATTTTCCTACTGTTAAATAGGTAGTACTGAGATGAGAACCCAGATTGATTCTGTGTGCAAGTCCCCTACTGCACTTTAGCTGGGAGATTAGAACATTCTAGTGATAGCTTCTAAGAAAAAATGGGAGCTCTAGACTAGGGGCAAAAGACCTCTTCTTCAACTTTATATCCCTTCTGCATCTTTATTAAGCAGAAAATCTTTACAGTGAAATGGGCCTGTGAGTTTATCTTTAAGAGGAAGAGAGAAATGAGTGAGGAGGAAAGATTGATTCAGGCAGAAGATATTTCACCATCTCATTTAGCCAGTCCTGAAGACCAGAAGCCTCAATGGATAGAAAAAGTGGCAGTTGCTTAAAAGGAGTAAGTCCTTGGGGTCCGAGTGAGAGAGAACTTGAATACAGAGAGATCACCTGAGCAGACGTTAGGGTTTATTCCTTTCCTTTGAGATGTATTTTTAGTAATTCCAAAAGGCGGCTAAGGGTTGAATAGTTTTTTAGTCTCCAAAGTTAAAGGAAGTGTTTGCCATTAACCAGATGCCTAGAAGACTAATTACTGGTACCAATCAATTCATGTTGCATTTTTTATCCTGCTAAGCCTTAGACATCAAGCAGTTTCCCCTGGATAAGGTGTGAGCTTTCACCGCTGAATGCATTTCACATATTTGTGGGCAGAATACCACCACCACCTCCCCCTCCTCTCCAGAACTGCCCATGTCATAATCCCCAGACTGTGACTGTGTTACGTTACATGGCAAGAGGAACTTTGCACATGTGATTAAGGTTAAGGGCTTTGAGATGGGAAGATTATCCTGGATTATCCAAGTGGGCCCATTTTAATCACATGAGCCCTTAAAAGCAGAGAACTTTTTCCTGGCTGTGGTCAGAGAGAGGAATGACCACAGAAGAAGGGTCAGAGAAATGCAGTATTGCTGGCTTTGAAGGTGGAGAAAGGGGACCACGAGCCAAGGACCTCCAGCAGCTTCTAGAAGCTGAAAAAGGCAAGGAAACAGATTCTCTCCTAGAGCCTCCAGAAGGGAACCCTTGATTTTAGCCCAGTGAGACCACTCACCTATAGAACTGTAGGATAATAGATTTGTGTTGTTTGAAGCTGGTAAGTTGGTGGTAGTTTGTTACAGCAGCAATAGAAAAATAGCAATAACACACCATTTAACTATATGAGCCCAAAATCTAGGAGCCATTCGTGAGACCTTCTCTATCACTGTCCTGTTGATTTAACTTCCTAAATAGCTCTGTTCCTTTCTCTCCATTTCCCTGGCCACTCGCAACTCTCATGTCTAGCTTGTTCTACTGTGATAGTCTCCTGTTTTCTCTTGTCTAGTCTGTTCTCAGCGTTGCAGCTACAGTGATCTTTTTAAAGGCAGAAGAGTTATTTTATCCCTCACCCCTAATTAGCCTAATTAACTTACTCATCCTTTAGATTTCAGCTCAGGCATTACTTCCTCTGGAAGACTTCTCTGACACTGCTCCTCACGCTCCTAGTCTAGGTCAGGTTTATTCAACCTCCATTCCTACAATAATGATTGTTAGAAATGCTTATAGAATTTTATTGCTCATCTCAGATTCTTTTATTATTATTATTATTCTTTTCTTTTTTATTTTTTTTAAAGATTTTATTTTCCTTTTTCTCCCCAAAGCCCCCCGGTACATAGTTGTGTAATTTTAGTTGTGGGTCCTTTCTAGTTGTGGCATGTGGAACGCCGCCTCAGCGTGGCCTGATGAGCAGTGCCATGTCCATGCCCAGGATTCGAACTGGCGAAACCCTGGGCCGCCGAAGCAGAGCATGCAAACTTAACCACTCAGCCACGGGCCGACCCCTCAGATTCTAATTATACATTCATTTGTGTAATTATTTGGTAATCTCTGTCTTCAGTGGACTGTTTGAGAACCTTGAGAGCCAGAATCATGTCACGCTTTGGCTCATCATTGTATCCTTAGAACCTGCCTTAGTGCCTGTATGTGACAGATACACAAGAAATGTATGTTGAATCAAGAAATAACTTAAAACATGTTAAACCAGTAGTGCCACAGTGACTTTGCTCCAGTACCAAACAAATGTCTTAAGTATGGTACTGTGGTTTACTGTATAGTGAAGAGTATATAGCTTGTAGGATAACCACGTGAAAGGATTTGAAGAATACTGTAAAATATCTTTTTAAAAATCATTGTCATGAAAGCAATACAACTGTAATTCGAAAGTAGATTATCCATAACCTCACTAATCAAACAAAATACTTTTCATTCTTTAGTTTTGGATTTTTTTCACTAAAAAGAATTGCAGTTAGTCCTTGTTTAAGTGTGATAGAGCTCTTCGCCTAAAGTGAATATCAGCTGTTAGGTTTTAAATACAATTAGATGTAATGTTAGTTACCTGAGAATATTTTTAGTGACAAAGAAATGTGTGGGAGTTAAGTGTTTCTATGAATGAATGTGGAAATGAGAATCTGTATGATTGTAAATAGAGATAGGGTTATAGTTCTAAAAGTGGAAATATTTTTAGAGTATGCTGCTTTATTCTAAGAAAATTGTATTAGGAAAAAGGTTAGTTATAAAGGAATATTAAGTAATTCCTACTGTGTACAGGATAATATATTTTATTAATAATATATATTATATATTATATAATATAGTATATTTTATATATATGATATAATAATATATGTTATAACATATATATAATATATTAAAAGTATATTATAATGTATTTTAACACCCTGCTTCTAAGAATGTAAAAAGTTATGGGGCCAGCCCCATGGCTGAGTGGGTAAGTTCATGCACTCTGCTTTGGTCACCCAGGGTTTCGCAGGTTCAGATCCTGGGTCCAGACCAAGCACTCCTCATCAGCTCATGCTGAGGCAGTGTCCCACATGCCACAACTAGAAGGATCCACAGCTAAAGTATACAGCCATGTACTGGGGGGCTTTGGGGAGAAGAAGGAAATATTAAAAATTTTTTGAAAAAGAACGTAAAAGTTACATGTAACTGTAAGATACATGAAAAAGTAAAATGTGAAATTATGGCAAAAGACAGTGTGTGTTAAAAAAACCAAAAACCCTTATGTAGTGAGTATAATAGATGTTAGTTAAATGTTATGTATTGATGTCCTAGTTAGAGTAAGTTTGTCTAAACCTTGAAGGTGGGAGAATCTTACTATAGAAAATTATACTGAACTACTTCACATAACCAGATAGACTACCTAGTTTGTGCCTTAAGTTTCAAGTTTGAAATAAGCTGTTATTATTACCTAAGTGCTATCTATTGACTTTTATATACTTTCATAATATAAACTGACATGTAAATTAATACTAGATTATTTTTTAAAGCTCAAGAAGGAAGCATAGGATTCAGGGGCATTAGACAAGATCAGAAAATAAGGCCTGATAGATCTGACCATCCCCTTTCCCTGTGAAGTAGCTTTTGTGGCTCTTGACTGCCCATATGTAGACATTAATCTCTAGACTGTTACGCAAGGGATGACCGTGCCTGGTTAGACTGTGTAGTAGGAGTTGAGAGGGGAAGTTAGAGACATTCAGGAGATAAAATTGGTTGGTCTAGGTCATTGGTTGGATGTGGGTAGGAAGAGGGACATGTTATAAGGATAAAAATTGGGCTTCTGGGTGAAAACATGGGGCATGAAGTGAAATACAGAGATAAGCATTATCTCATCTTTACCAGGGAAGGAGGGCCAGGAGCTACCGCATCTGATGACCTCTTGGTTAACTGTTTCCACAAGTTCTTTAATGTCTGAGGGGATTTTGTGTGTGGAGAAAAATACTCATCACTGCTCATAATTTAATTAATACTCAGTTTATTAAACCTGCTTATCTAATAAACTAAGTTCAAAAATAAAAATTTGTAACCATTTAGAATTGATTACAAGCTTATTTAGTTTAAATTCTCTTTAATAACAGTTTAAATTACAATTACAATTAATATGACTTCTGTAATACTTTATATAGTAATTGCAAAACTTACTACCCTTACAATTAAATCTATTTTAAAGTATTAACCCGTTAATATTTCATCAGTTCATTTACTCTCTCTGTACTTGTTTTTTTAATATCTTCCCAGGGTTATAGTAATCTTCCCAGACTCTTAGTTCTATACTTTCCCAGGATTATGATAATTTTCTCTGCCTTCCTAGGGTTATGGTAATCTTACCACTACCAAAACAAAACAGCATTTCAGCTTAGTCAGAGTTTAGGGTTGCTGATGGATTTGATTCTTAGCTAAAACATAAGATTTGGTTATGCCTTTAAAGATGATTAAAAGCTGTATTGGTGTGTCTTGGGTCTCTTCTACAATTAAACTTTATCTGCTAAGTTAAGGGGATTTTTTTTTAAGCTCCTGCCTTTCTCATCGATTTTTAGTTTCTTGCAACCTGGAGTTATTCCCTGAATGAAATACTTTCTTTTTTTGTATGTGATTAGTGTTTCATAACCCACTGTTCTGTTGTCATTATGAATTGCCCTTTTCTGGTAGCATTACTGCCAGGAATTATAGATGTTTCGTCTCCCAAGAGATCAGGGATCAGGTCTGTACGGTTAGCTCTCTTTAGGGTATTTCATTAATTCATCCAGTTAGAACTCATAGTTTCTACTTGGTCATTGCGTGTGACCATGGGTGCCCATCAACCACTGGATCTCCTTTTAAATGGTACGTATGTATGAGGACCTGCACTGATCTGACTCTCCTGTTGGTACATAACTTGCTTTTTCTGGAGCTATCTGGCTTAGCTACAGTTCTCTGTATCTGCCCCTTCCTCCTGCACCTTAACAAAAAAGTACACAGCTATACTTTATAAACAGACATATGCTTAATATCAGGGAAAAAAACACCTAAATGTTAACACTAACCTAATTATTAACACAATAACTATTATTTTCACCCTTCTTTACAGCTATCTTTTTATGTACTTTAACTTTCCTTTTTGTATCTTCTTATGAATTCATAGCTTATCATGATTCCATTTCTTCCATTTAGCTATAATTATTTTTTTTTAATGTTTCGATCATGACAGCCTGGCTAACCTCAAAGTGGCTTCTCCCTTTTTAAAAAAATCTTCTTGCTTTCTGACAACAAGATTTTCCAGGCGCATCTTGATTTTTTTTCCCTGCCCTAAGACATGAAACTAGTACTTTCATTAGAATTCTGGTTCCTTTTAATGGAGGATGGTATTTGAGACCAAAATTAGTTCCCCATGGAGTTGATGATAAGGGGGAAGGCGTTGTGGCTTGCCATTGTAGTGACAAACAGGGAAACATGTTTCTTTTAAGGCATATGTTGTCAATGGTGGCCCTGTTTAACATTACTACATCTTTTTATATCTTACCATTTTTCTTCATTATAAGGTGTCATTGACCACTAACACTATTCCATTGACATACATCTTCCTACATGAACCTCCCTCCACCAGGAATGCCTGCCACCCACCCCTTTTGACTATTTGGCAAACTTAGTAAAATGAAGGGGGACAGAATAACTTTTTTTTTTTTTTTTTGAGGAACATTAGCCCTGAGCTAACATCTGCTGCCAATCCTCCTCTTTTTGCTGAGGAAGACTAGCCCTGAGCTAACATCCGTGCCCATCTTCCTCCACTTTGTATGTGGGATGCCTCCCACAGCATGGCTTGCCAAACAGTGCCATGTCCACAGCCAGGATCCGAACTGGTGAACCCCAGGCCGCCGAAGCCGAACGTGCCCACTTAACCACTGTTCCACCGGGCCGGGCCCCCAATTTTTTTTTATTGCTTTTATTTGTACAGTACCTAATTTTCAAACCCTTTTGGCAGCTTGCTTTGATAGAAGGAAAGAGAAATTATTCATCAGTTGTTTTGGTAGTAGTTGGGGTAAAGGTCTAAAGCTGTGGTTTGCAAACTATGTACCCTGGCACCCTAGGCTACACCACAGAGAAATTCCTGGGGCCTCAGGGAAAATTAAGTTTTCAAAGGAAACACAACTTGACATTTGTTGGACATCCTGTGAATTAGCTTGAGACAGTGTACAGCTTCACCAGTGCACTACATTCCTTCAGACGATGTCATATTTTTGTAAAATGGGTTTCTGGAAATTGCTTTGATTAAAAAACAAGTACTGTGTGAAAATCAGTGTGGAACAGGATGAGGATGGTAGTGTCTGAACTGATTCCAAGGTTTGAAAAGTTATACAACCAGGCACAAACATCCATCCTGTAAGTGATTATTTAAAGATGAAATCAAGTACTTTTCTTTCAATTTATGTGTTATTTTTTAATACAACTATAAGATGTTAAGACATCATACTTATTAGGTTGTTTGGATCTCACTACTTACTAAACAGAATTGTTTGGTATTTCTTTTGGCCTGGGAGTGTCGTACAAAAATTCCTGAGATACTAAGGGCACTGTGAACTGAGAAAGTTTGGGAATCGCTGGTTTGAAGTAATCAGACTGCCCAATAAGAATTCACATGGTCAACCAAATCTCTGATACCAAGTGGAAAGGTACATTCATCTTAAATTTCTAATAAGCCAGCCCCGATGGCCTAGCAGTTAAAGTTCAGCACGCTCCGCTTCAGCAGCCTGCGTTTGGTTCCCAGGCACAGAACCACACCACTCGTCTGTCAGTTGCCATGCTGTGGTGGCTGCTCACATAGAAGCAGCAGCAGAACTTACAACTATACACAACGATGTACTGGAGCTTTGTGGGGGAAAGAGGAGGGGAAGAAAAGGAGGAAGACTGGCAACAGATGTTAGCTTAGGGCAAATCTTCCCCTGCCAAAAAAAAAAAAATTCTAACAGATGAGCTTTTTCAAACCTCCTTTTTGAAACTTCATGCATCCCATTCTGTGTGTTTGTTTTTTTATGACAAATATCTTTACATTTTAAATTTAATAGATTACTACTAAAGAGAAAGAATCAGAATTTTAAATAAAAATAATAATGCAAATACAAAATTCCTAAAAAATGTCTCAGGTATTAAGACACCCAGAAATTCAGAAAATCAGTGAAAAGAATACTGTAGCTTGGAATTCAAACATTGAAGTCTTCAGAACTCAATGATCTTTTCTATGGCTGTTTCTGGGAGACACATGGCCTTTAAATGAGTCACTGTGGGATTCCAAAATATCAGACAGACCACATTTCTTCTCCTCACGATAGTTCTCTGACCAGCCTTGTCTTTAAAATTGGGAATCTGAGGATCTCTTAACTCCATCTTGATTTTAAGAAAGATATTAATATTGAAATATACAGTTGCATGTCACACATTGGGGGGGGCGGTCGGGGTGGGGTACACTTTCTCTCTCCCATTTCTCTACCCCTGCCAGGTAGTTGTTATTTCTGATTCTCTAAATCACTGGACTTGAAATCATATATTACTTTGGTAATGGCGTTCCTTTAATAATATTTTGACAAAGTTTCAATTATTATTACATACGCATCCTTTACCATAATATTAGCATCCACAGGCGTAAATATCACATACTCTTGGGAGTTTGGCTGTACTAAATCTTTCCTTAAATAGAAGACTTCTCCTGAGACACTCCTGTCTGTAAGGGTGGGTGGAGTAGGTAATGACGTGTGCTGTGTAAAGGCCCTCCAGAGCTTCTTCCCTGGAAGATTTAACTAAGACATCAGGTAGGAAGGAGGATTAGAGTTCGGATTAGAAGAGATGAAGAATCACCTAGAAGATCTGCAGAATAATCTCAGAGGCAGCAGAATGTACCAGCCTAGTTATCTGATCCGAAAAGAGGGAGTTGGCTGTTACTAGAATTTGATGACAAGTTGATGGCATAAGCATGAGTGGGCAGAGAACAAAAATGGGAGATGATGAATTCCTAAAATGGGCGTGACAGAGAGACATTTTGCTCGGAGTCCTGGCCACAGTCAGTATGCTGATGCTGGGTTTAAGAGCAGGTTAGTTGAAAATGCTGCAGGCCTCAGCTGCTCCTAGTTCAGCCCAATGTCAGAGTGAACGCTCCTTTTCCCTTGTCCGTCTTGCCCTGTCCCCAACCAATCTCTGCCCTCTCCCCAGGAGAGGAGGGAGAGATGCACCCTACTGCCCAGTTCTCCTTTATAATCAACATAAAATTCTTAGAATCCGTCATGTGAGCGTCCTTAGTGCTTAGGTCTGCTCTGCTTAAAAAAATGCTCCCTCCTTCCCGCCATCTTCTTTCTTTCTTCTAGCCCAGTGATTCTAGTTCCCCAGGCCTTTCCCCCCCATATTTCTTTTCCAGTCCTTTAACTTTTCCATTCGTTTTCTTTTAAATTAGGGATCAGAAACTTAAATGCCTACAGATATAAACAAGTCTGATAAAGACTGTAACAAGCGGGAGAGTGTCCAGGTAAACGGAACAACTATTTCTTAGTTCTAGTTAATTGTTATCATGGGGGCATCCAGACCCTGTTGCCAGATGTTTCTGGTTTTTGGGGTTTTTTTTCGAGGAAGACTGGCCTTGAGCTAACCTCTGTGTCCATCTTCCTCTACTTTATATGTGGCACACCTGCCACAGCATGGCTTGACAAGCGATGTGTATGTCTGCACCCTGGATGCGAACTGGCGAACCACAGGCCACCAAAGCGGAACGTGCAAACTTAACCACTGCGCCACTGGGCTGGCCCGTGTTGCCAGATCTTGAGCTGTTTCAAGAGAAGCAAGAAACCTGAGAATTTTGTAGACTCTCTCTCAGTGTTTACATGTTGGCATTTAATTCAGATTTTTAAAGCGTAGTTGGATGCTGCTCCTGGGCCAGGACTTTGCAACCTCTGCTCTAGATCTTATCTAAGTTTGGAGCTCAAAATCAAGCCCAGGATTAAGTATTTGATAAAGGACGTATCTTTGTACCCTGTCTGTTCTGCTCCATTTCTTTCTCAGAATTGCTTTCTATCAGATGCAATTCTTTGACTTGTTCCTTGAAAGGCTGTGTGTCATTTCTGAATGTGAAAGCAGTTGAGAAAAAGAAGTATTGTTTTGATCTGAGTATGTCTAATGCTTTTTCCCCCATGAAAGAGGAATTCACAAAGAGGCCTAAAACAGAACTAAGAAACTCTCCACTCCCAGAGATTGTGCAGGAAAAGGATTGGTCCCTGTAGCATTTGGGGGCTCAGAGATTTTGTTAAAAAAAGCAAATGCTGCTACCCATACCTTAGTGATTAAAATTGTTTAGAACTAAGTCTTAAAAGTCTTCCATTGCATATATTGTGTATATCTGTGTATTGTGCTGTTAAAGTTGTTGAGAAATAGGCAGAAGGGAAGCATAACCATCTAGGGAAACTACAGGCATGGCTCATTTAGTGACAGGGACACTCCCTGAGAAACGCATCCTTAGGTGATTTCATCGTTGTGTGAACATCGTAGCGTGTAATTACACAAACCTAGATGGCATAGCCTACTAGAGACCTAGGCTATATGGTACTAATCTTATGGGACCACCATCGTATATGTGGTCCATTGTTGACTGAAATGCTGTTATGTGGCACATGACTATACTTATTAGTAAGTTCATTATCATGTTAGAGAATAGAATTTTGCTTTCCGGGTTTCTAGATGGCCTAGGTTTATAAAATGCCTCTAAAATGTTTTTTTCTCTCTCTCCCTTTTCTTCCCTTACCCGCTCTCTTTTTTAGGTTTTCAAAACAAAAATAGAGTTGCAATCTTGGCAGAACTGGACAAAGAGAAAAGAAAATTACTAATGCAGAACCAATCTTCAACAAATCATCCTGGAGCGAGGTATTGAAGAATAATGTGGTTTTTATATTCAGTGATAAAAAAAAACTTGGACAAAATAATTCAAGTTGGTTAGCAGTGGTTTGTTTCTTTAACATTGGAATTTACATTATGTTTCTTAGTTAGATTTGAAAAAATTAGACTGATTAGATTTTAAATATTTTAATTCTAATTAGAATATTTAATTTTCCCTACAGACTACTCTTTAAAAAAGAGGAGTTTTGTATGTTTTTTTTGTTACTGAAATTATTGCTAGTGTCCCACTTTTAAACAGTCTGCAAAGTAGGTAAAATTTAGGTAGCTCAATGATCTTTATCATATTCAGTTTCTGCCATCTTAAGTCTCTCCCCTGAGATCCATTATCCCCTTCAACCGCCACCCTAACTTTCTCCTCTCTTTTTTCAGCCAGACCTCTTAAAGGAGTTATCTATACTCAGTTCTACTTTCTGATTGACTCCTCAACCCACTACAATCTGACTTCCTGGCCCCTCGTCCCCGTACCTAAGAATAGGTTCGAGCCTAGGTCACTTGCAGCCTCCTTGTGGCTAAATGTTGTGGGCCAAAGTCCTTTTCCTGTTAGACATCTTCTGGTTAGACATCTTAGCATTATTTGACACCATTGATCCTTTGCTCTTTAAAATTCTCTTTCTTCTTGTTATACTATCTTGATTTTTTTTTGCAGACATTTCTCCACTGCCTCTCTCTTGAATATTGATGTTCCTCAGAGTTCTGAGAACTCAGTTTCCAAGTTACTTCTTTTCACTGGACAGTAGCATCCACTTTCACAACCTGTTAGTTATGTGGCAGTAACTTTCAAACATTTGCATCTCTAGCCTAGTCCTCTCCCCCAAGCACCATACTGCCTCCTCCACTTCAGTGTCCAACAGGCATTCCCAGACTAAACTCATCTTCCTTTCCCTCTAACTACTTAATCTTCTTGGGTTTCTTGTCCCAGTGAGTAGTGCTGATCTACTAGTTACCAGAGTCAGAAATGTGAACTTTAATTGTTTATTGTTCTCTTTCACTTCCATCTCCAAGCATTTATTATTCTCATGAGAGATAAAACATGAGATACAAACGTAAGTTTATACTTTGAAATGTGTCTTGAATCTGTCCATTTTTCTTCATTGCTGCTGGTGCTGCCCTCGTCCTGGCCACTCTTCATTTCTTGCCTCAATTACCATAACTGCTTCCTCATTGAATTTCCTCTAATCTTAAGTCCTCTTGAATACGTTTATCAGTTGTGTAAGTTAGGGTGTTTTAATCTGGAAGTAACAGAAAACCAACAAAGTTGGCATAAACATTAGGATGTATGTTAACCAGGAGCATGAAGGTAAGGTGGTTCCAGAGTAGCCTAATGCAGTGGCACAGCAGTGTCAGCAGTGGCCCAGCTTCCTTTCGTCTTTCCTTTCTGCCTTTCTCCATGGGTCAGCAGCTCCCTAATGGTCAAAGTATGACTGCAGTAGCCTAGGTGTCACCTCTCCACTGAGCCACCTGTAGAGGCAACAGCCAGGAAGGTTCCTCTCCTATGTCCCTTTCGTAAGAGTGAGGATAATGTTCTCCGAAGCCTTCCAGTGGACTGCCCATCAAGTCTAGTTGCCTAGAATTGTGTACCTTTCTTTTGCTTAAACCAGGAACCAGCAAGGGGAATGGCATTGTGTTAGACCAGTCGAAGTTCACCCCTTGAGGGATGAGCCTGGCCTGCCCTTAAAGCATGGGACCACCAATAATTGAACTAAGTTTGGGTTCCATTAGCAAGGAGGAGGGGAGATAAACAGATGTTGAGGAGGTGACCACACTATCTGCCATAGCATTGGTCTGTCTGAACCGTCCTGAGGTGCTTCTGATCGTGTCACTCCTCCTCTCATAACACTCTTTGTAAGTCTCCCTTTACCGTTAGGATAAGGTCTACATTTCTCAGTTCATTTCACAAGGCTATTCGTATCCTGACACCTGCCTTCCTCCCCAGCCTCATTTTTTGCCAACCCACTTCACCGCTCCCCAGCCCTGCCCTCTAGTCCTACTGAACTCTGATTTCTTCAAACATGTCAAGCTCTCTTGCCCCAGGTCTTTTCTTTTTGCACAGTATACCTTCTGCTTGAAACATTCAATTCTTCATTTTTCACCATAAATGGAACTTTATGATGGACTGGAGTACCTCACATCTGTTTGAAAGTAGGACACCATAAATCATCAATAAAAAGGAGATAATTTGAAGCCCCAGTAAATAACATAGGCTTTCTTCATATAAATTAACGTAGACAGTGGGAGAAGGAAAAAAGACTTATTCTGGAAGGTCTTTTTTATCCCTATAAAGAGCATATAATGATAAATATGATTGAGAAGTAAGGAAGTCCCTACCTTAAACAGCCGAGTAACTAAGATTCCCATTTTAGCATTGCGCTTTCGAGACCCTCTCTTAATAAGGACTTCCGGGATCATGCTGAGCAGCAGCATATTGCAGCCCAACAGAAGGCAGCTTTGCAGGTGAGCAAAGTGTAACTGACATTCTCGTCTCTGGAGACTTCCTGCGTCTTGGAAGCCAGCGCAATTCCTAATTTGTATTTCAGTGGAGCAATATCAATAAAAATGTTCCACACATAATTGCAGTGGTTTGCTGACGTTCAGTCATACCCAGAGGATTTGAAGGACCAATATAGCAGTAATGAAAGTATCTTTTATGGTGCTGATGCGATCATGATTGATTCTGTGCTGTACCTGGCGAGGGACTGTTTGTGCACAAAAGTCGAGGATATTTGGATAGACAGAATGATCTTAAAAGCTGAGATGGCTAGTTTAATAGTACATATATAGTTTTTCAAATTTGTCATGCCATTATATCCTTTGATAGTCTTACGGGTTTATTAGTGTTGTTTGGATTCTTTTTTTAAGGGTCGGCATGACTGTTGTGCATGATGAAGACTAACTCTTACCGTAGGAATGTGATAATCCATCAGTTTAAAAAATAATGTTCTTCATAGTAATAAATAGTTTAAGTATTATACTGATCTTGGATAATTTAATTAAGATTCCCAGAGACCTTGGTCAAGACATCGTTATGCTTTTAAACCTTAGAATCTCAGAATTGGAAGGGATATTAATGATCATCTCACTTTAGATAACTTAAAAACGGTCCTCCTTTCTGTAGTGGCAGGAGGACGTCACTGGTGGTTTTCTGTTCTTTATGTTCCAACGTTCTCTACAAAATGTTGGGATCTTAATCACCAGTAATCAGCCGCCTTTTCCCCGCTCTCCTTCCAACTACTGCCCTTCCTCAGCTCCTGCTTTGTCAATCAAGAGCAGAGGACTCTGCAACCTTTGTTGCTAGTCCCCCCTATCCCTCAAGGAACAAAGTAGTTCAGGCCTTTGACTGAGGACATGAGTTCATTTATGACTCGAGAATCACACGGGAGAGCAGGCATGATAAATGGGTACTGGTGCAACTGGTTAATGTGAATTCTTTATTGGTGTCCATCTCCTGTGTATTTAAACAAAATTAGCAGCATAAGAACTGATTTTTAAAATAAATTTGGTGTCAAGCACTCAGAAAGGATAAGTAATTTTAGCGCCTCGGTTGAAGAATCGTGACTCTTACTAGCTTAATTGCCCTTTTTTCCTTTTTTTTTTTTTTTTAACTCTTTCCCAGCACGCACACGCACATTCATCTGGATACTTCATAACTCAAGACTCTGCATTTGGGAATCTTATTCTTCCTGTTTTACCTCGCCTTGACCCAGAATGAAGAAAATATTTGTACTGAAAGTGCCTTTAATATCAAATGCCAAAGCTACTATCATTCAGTGCTGCGTGAACTGTGACTTGCAGAATTTTGGTGAACTTTTCTATTTTTTGCTTCTTTAAAAGAAAGGTAGGTGTAAGTGAAAGAAAAAAAGGAGGGTAACCCGGATGATGAGAGCTTTGGAAATTGTTTTATCCGAGAAACCGATTATGCTGCCAGGACTGTAACTGCTTGTCACGCAGTTTGATTTTTCACCCTGAATCAGACTCTGCATCAGACGGCACGCCACTCACCCCCAGCCCCCAACTAGTCGGACTGAGTATATCATGTTCATAGTGGACTTTCAAGGGCCATTTGTGGTACTTTAGAGAAACAAGGGTGCTTTTTAAAAACGTGAACTAATAGGCTTAAGTAAGTTGCATTTGTGTTCGCTGTTTATGGAACTGATGTCAGTGCACCTTTTCAGTTTATGGGCAATGTGTCATCCTGAAATATCCTTTAACTCATAGCTGGTTCCCCTATTCTCAATTTTAAAAGAAAAGATAAGACTAAGTTACCAACCAGTCTTAAACATTTTTTATAAACCTATGCCACTATAAATTATGTGACTAAATGCTGTTAAAAAAAATGATAAGAAATGTAATGGTTTTAAAATTTGTACACGCTCTTATTTAGTGTTACTGCATAAATGGTGTGCCTGCATGGTCGCATTGTCCGTTTTTGTTCTAATTAGAAATGTATGCAAGTTGAGCCCCTTTTTAATTATTTCAAGGAAGAAGGAGTTAGATTAAGCCAATTTCTCAACATGCCACATCTTTAACAGAATTTGGGCTTCTAACTTAAATATGCAGTTCTCACTACCTTAGCCTAATCCAACAGAGTTAGAATCTCTAATTCAAAATAAAGTCGGAAAACCATGGGTTAGAGAATTCAGTTTTCGTGATAGGTATTTATAAACTCATAGATTAGTAGGTCTCTGGAACTTAGAGGTCGTTTAGCTAAAATCCTACCTTTTTTAAATTTTTCACTAGGACTGAAATTATATTTTACACTATATCACAGATATAGTATTTTATATAACTACTTGTAACTGACCTCATCTTGGCCTTGAGTCCCACCCAGTCCTCTCTGCCGGTAGGATGAAATTTAAACTTAAAATTCCAGTTTGGGTCAATATTTAGTCCAAATTCATCTCCCTTTTCAGAGTGTCCTCTCCCTCCTTCCCTACATATTGGCACCAGCCACGCAGCCTCATCTTACCCAAACTCTGTGAAGCAGGAGGAGTCACAATCCTCATCTATGCACTCACAATCCTCTAATCTATGAACAATCTAGACTTGCCTTTGCCATTTGGATTCTCTCTTGAGAATCTGAACTGATTTTCTTCAGTTGGGTGAGTTGGCAGCTGTCCCTGTTGTAATGGTCACCATTACAGTAAAGGTGCCCCTACTCCTGCTGCTGAGGAGCTCCCCAGGGGCCCCTGGGTCCCGGCCTGCCTCAGCTCCATCCAGCTATTCCCTGGGCCTCCTAATAAGTGGCCCTCATTTTCCTGAATTAATTTGACTAAGTTTCTATTCTGTGTGATCCTTGACCCACTGGCATGCTTCTAAATCTATCTACTGATGCTAGGGAGATAAAAAAATTTGGATTGTATAATTTTTATACTATTGAACCCTCTACCTGATTTATGACTTATAACCTAGGTAAAGAGATCTTTTTTCCCAGTGGTATCTTTGCTAGTCTCTTAGCCTGATAAATAGATGTGGCCTAAATCCTGCAGTCCTGGCTAGTGAGCACTTCCTCCCACTCCTTTCCTTTGAGTCACTTATAAATTCAGTTCAATTCCATGTATATGGATTACTATCTACTCTGTAAAGTGCGTTAGGGGCAAAGATGAGGGACACCTGCTCTTCAGGCAGTCGCAGTGCGGAGCAGCCTCCTCTGGTAGTGACAGAGGACGCCAGGCTGCAGGGAGTGGGAGGGGACAGGCATCCTGGAGCGTGGAGCAGTCTAGATGGGCCTAGAAGTATCGGTATGATGTTACCTGGCAAGAGGGAAGAGCCGCTCCAGGCAAAGGTCAGGATTTCATAATCAAAGAGAAGCAGGAACCAAGACAATTGTGGGGCCTGCAGGGAATAACGGCAAGGGCAGCAGTGGACTCAGAAGCCCCAGGTGAAGTTCCAGCACGCTTCCCTTGGGTTGCAGGTGAATTTGGCGTGCTCCCTCAGCCTCTCTGTACATGTCGTCCCATCTCGTCTGTAAAATAGGAACACTCTGCCTATTTCATAAATTGTCTAGACCAGGATTTTTCAAAGTGCAGATCTCAACCCATTACTGAATAGAGAAGCCAACTGAATGGCTTAATGGTGTGTGACTAGCTTTTTTTTTTTTTTAATAAAATAGAAAACAGCGTGCGTGGCATGTAGTAACAGGAGGTTTTGTTTCATGAATCTTCTGTTTGTGTGTTTTACCTATTGTGTTCATTGTGTGCTCCACCAGTGTGTAAGGTCCTTGAAGACAGGGATTTTGGTTTCCCTTCTCCCCTCCCTGCCTTCCTCTTTGTTCACTACTGTATTCTGCTTAGAATAGTATTTGGCGTATAGTAGGGGTCAGTACCTACTTACTGAAGGAACGACTGAATGAATAAATATGACCCGGATCATGATGTAAAGGGTTTTTTTTTTTTTACTGTGAGTCATGGCAAAAAAGTTTTGAAAGCCACTGGTAAATGATACAGATGATAGTGCTTTGTATGATTCTGGAATAAAAACTGAAATGACTCAATCATTGCAAAGGCAGATTTTTTTTCTGAACAATCTAGACGCTGTCTCAGGTTGTCTCAGTTCTTTGCTTCACTTTGGCAATAAAAACTCAGCCTTTAAATGAGTTTAATGAGGCAAGGGTTTTGGCAAATATGGTTACACTAAGAATATAAGACCAGCAGAGAAAATGTCCATTCATCAGTGCAGTTCCACTACCGGGGATCCCATCAGTCAGCACAAGTCCCACTTCAACAGCGTTAAGCTCAACCAATATTTACTGAGTGCTTTTCTTGTTCATCTCTGTGTGCACAGTGACTAGTGCACAGTAGACACCCACAGCTTTTTTTAACGAGCAAATAAAGAATGAACATGGATGGAGGAAGAGAACTTGACCGTCCTCAAGAATCTGACAGTCTAGAGTGGGCGAGACAAGCACACTCACAGCTAGGGTGCAACCTAGTGAGGAGAGAATGAGTCCATGAGCCTGGAAGGACCAGCAGAGGCAACATCAGAGAACAAGCATTTGAACTCGGCTTTCAAGATGAGAGGATTTCAGCCCGGAAGGATGGAGCAACCTTCAAAGCAAAGGAAAAGCCCGCACAAATACAGGGAGGAGAGGGGTGTAGGGGCAGTTGGGAAGCGACCCAAAAAAAAAGCGACTTGTATGGATAGATTTGGATAAATTTGTACTCGGCAATAATCAGAAAGTAGGTCAAAAGTAGGCTGAATTCGTATTCTAGAGTCTTGAATTCTAGAGTGAGGCAAATATCTTTAGCTGGTGTATGCTTGGGAGCTACTGAACATTGCTGCGTGTAGGCAGGTACAGAGATGAACCACCTGGGCCCTCATCGGCTCTCGGGAGAGGGAGCTTGCCAGAAGAATACTACTCAGTTTCTATTGAGATTTCAGACACGTGTGTGCTGTTCACATCTACATTTCAACTCCAGCCCCATCTGCCTCTGCTGTCTCTTCCATTTAGTTCTGGGACCCTCCCCCAAGCTTCTCGTTCCTCCCCCCCAACCCTTATCTGCCTGTCTTCTCGTCCCCAGCTTTACTCTGTATCTCTACCTCCAAGAACCTTTTAGGAAAGAAAAGGCAAGACATCCTCACACAGTATGCATTTAATCGTCACGTCAGCTCAGTGTGATAGCGATGTTCTCCATAATCTACTCAGCATTAATTCTTCCTTTCCCCTTCCTAACAATACCAGATTTCTATTGGGCATGCCCTTTCGCCAGTACAGCCAGGGTGCTTCAGGGGAAGCTGACTGTCCCAGCAACAGGAGTGGGCCTTCATGCTCCAAATCCATCAGGGCAAATCGCTTTTACCACAGCCAGTCAGCACGTGGTATTTCACAGACCACAGGAATTGGTTCAAGATTGCATATGTTACCCAAATTCAACCCAAATGAGACCAGGAGAGGTATGCTGGGCTTATGGAAAAGATGTGTTCTCACCTTTCTGGGAATGCTACCAAAAGAGAATCTTTCTAGATGTGTAAAAGGAAATATATATATTTACCTGAGTGTGGGTGGGCAGCCATTATGTGACCATGAGGTGGGACCAGTCTTAGGATGAAGCCACCACCATAAAAGGTGCAGCAGAGAAATAGAAAGAAACTGGGTCCCTGATGACGTCTTTGCACCGCTGAGTGAACCAATCCCTAAATTCCTTCCTCTATTATAGGAAGTAATAAATCCTCATTATTGTTTAAGCCAGATTACAGTAGGCTTTCTGTCACTGGCCACCTAAATGCCCTAAGACAAGATGTACTAACTTGCTCACTAATCTCGTAGCCACACAGCCAAGGGAAAGCAGAACTCTAAAACTCCGATTTCTCCTCAGGACCGCACAGTGGTGCCTCCGCCTTAGGCCATTCTTCATCTCATCAAATTAGCTGCCTGTGCATTCTCTCCCTTGCAGTCCAGTCTCCTGCCTTGCCCCTGCCGACCTTAACCCTTCCATGCCACGTCCTTTCCTGATGAGTGCACTACTGCGATCTCTGGAATTCCCTTGGTTCAATCACCAAAATATATCTATGCGTCCCGACTGTTTCTCAGCACCCAGCTTTCTCTTGAGGTCTGCGGTCTCGCGCCTGTACAGGCACAGGATCAGGAGGCAGCAGATCACGGGTTCAAATCCCGGCTGTGGGTTCAGCTAGTTTCCGGCTCGCTCACCACTGCAGCTCCAGAATATTGTTGTAACTGCATTTCAGAATTCACTTCTTAAAAATGCACGCCCCCTCCTCACTTAAAAACTCCAGCGCCATCATTGCCAAGCACTATGTTTGAGCACTCCCTCACATTCCTTAGCACCTTGATCCTTGAGTCAAGAAGGACCTGGACTCCGACTTCAGTCTTTATCTGCATTACCCCTGCTGTTACCCTGAGAACACCGGCAGCCATCTTACTTTGAACTAATACCCTTGTCTCCCAGGCCCTCAGGTCCTCTGCTCCAAAGACTGCCTTCTCCATTCTCTAGTCACCACACACTGGCCATTCCCTGAATCTGGAATCGGATATCCCTACCTTCTTCATCCCTAGGTTCTGAATGCTGTTCTGTAGCCACATACTCGGAGATTTCACACTGTCAGTTACCTCTTTTCATTCCTCTCTCTCTCCACAGAATCATGCTTTTCCCCTATAAATGGGAATTTACTTAAAGACCTTCCAATGATCTTATGTCTTGTTCAAGCCTGACCTGACTGTCCCTTCACCAACAGACTGTATTTGTTTCCACAGCGCCTCCCGGTACCACATGTAGTCACCCTACCTGCATTTGTGACCATATACTCTGCCTTTCTTGCTGTAGTGAATGAATGGTTCACCTTCCTTTTGAAGGCTGATTTCTACATTTTTCTTCCCTTGATCTATATTCTGTTCCATTACTGCCCCATTTCTCTGCTTCCCTGTATAACAAAGAGTTGTCTATGCTAGCTGCATTTAATTTTTCTTCTCCCGTTGTCTCTGGAACTCACCCTAATCAAGCTTATATCTCCACAGATTCACTGAAATTATTCTCATAAAAGCACCAGTCATCTCCACTTGGCCAAATCCAGTTGTTGATCTTCATCCCTTGTCCTACTTGAATTCTCAGCATTTTCCGCAACGGATCACTTCTTCCTCCTTGAAACGCTATCTGCCCTTGTCTTCAGCAACACCGTGCTTTTCTGGTTTTCCTCTTACTTTATTGGTTGTTTCTTCTCTGTTTCATTTGTTGGCTTCTCCTCCTTCCAAATGCAAAATGTTGGACTACCCTAAAGACCAACCTTTCCATCTTTTTTCTTTCTACAGTCATTCCCTGGGTAATCCTATCTAGTATCATGGCTTTAAGTACTGACTATCTTCTGATTACTTTCAAACTTATATCACCAGCCCTGATCTGCCCCTTTGTGGTGGTTAGTCTCCAAAGATGGCTACCATCAATTCCTCCTGTCCCCATAGGCATACACCACTGTTCTCATGAAAAGGGGGAGTCTGTTTCCCCTCCCCGTGCATACATGCTGGCCTTGTGATGTGTTTTGACAAATAGGATGTGGCAGAAGAGACGTGATGTCAATTCAGACCCATCCTTTAAGAGGCCTGAAGAGCTTCTTGCTCTTGTCCTTTCTGGAGAAGCCAGCCACTATGTGAGAAGTCTGACTCCCTGTGACCACCATGCTATGAGGAAGCCTGAGCTAGCCACATAGAGAGGCCATATGGTGGGGCACTCAGGTGCCAGAAATGTGAGTGAATCCACCGTGGGCCTTCCTGCTCAGCCCAGCTACAAGCTGAATGCAGCCAAGTGAGTGACCCCAACTGATGCCACATAGAGCGGAGCTGGCAAGCTGGGCCCAGTCAACCCACAAAATTGTAAGAAATAATAAATTGTTGCTGTTTTAAACCTCTAAGTTTGGGGGTAGTTTATTATGCAGCAAAAGATAACCTAAATACTCTTGATCTCCAAACTCCCATCTCCACTGTCAACATGGCATCTCCCTTTGGAAGTCTAACAGGCATCCAAACTTAACATGTCCAAAATCAGTCTTCATCTGCATCTTTTTTTTCCCCCTTCCCAAAGCCCCAGTCCATAGGTGTATATTCTAGTTGTAAGTCCTTCTAGTTCTTCTGTGTGAGCTGCCACCACAGCATGGCTACTGACAGATGGGTGGTGTGGTTCCGTGCCCAAGAACTGAACCTGGGCCGCCGAAGCGGAGGGCACCAAACTTTAACCCCTAGGTCATCAGGGCTGACTCCAAAGTCAGACTCTTCATCGCTCACCTTCCCAGCATGCTCTTCCCTCCATCTCAGTAAATGGCTATTTGCACTGCCCTTAACATGAGAGTCATTCTAGGCTACTTCCTCACATTCCTCTTTTAATCTTGGCAGCTCTAGCCTCAGAATATATCCAGAACCCCATAAATTCTTACTACTTCCACTGTTCTCATCTTGTCCCACGCCACCAGTCATCACTTACTGAGACTACTGCAGTAGCCTTCGACCTGGGCTTCCTCCTTCCATGTTTGCCCCCTGCCCTCCATCTCACCCCATAGTTGAGAATATTCAACACAGTGGCCAGAGTGATACTTTAAACACGCAAGTGAGGCACCCAAAAACGATGCTCAGCATCACTAATCATGAGGGAAATGCAAATCAAAAACTACAATGAGACCACTAGGACCATTCATTAGGACGGCTATTACCCAAACAACAGACAACAGGTGTTGGTGAGGATGTGGAGGAATTGGAACCCTCGTGTACTGTTGGTGGGAATGGAAAATGTCACAGCTGCTGTGGAAAACAGTGTAGCAGCTCCTCAAAAAAATTAAACATAGAATTACCATTTGATCCAGTAATCCTACTTCTGGGCATATACCCAAAAGAACTGAACGCGGGGGCTCAAACAGATATTTGTGCACCCATGTTCACAGCAGCAGTATTCACAATAGCCAAAAGGTGGAAACAACCCAAATGTCCATCAACAGATGAATGGGTTAAAAAGTGGTATATACATACAATGGGGTGTCAGCCTTAAAAAGGAAGGA